TGGCCACATGTGCACAGGCCATGTGGAGAATTACATTTTGGCATAGTTTGTGAAAGGGAAGAGGAGTGGGACATTGTCTTCCCATCTCCTATTACACTGATCACAGTTCACCCTACAAGGAGATAACTTCTGCATTGTTTCATGCAGCTTCCTTGGCAGTTGATCTGGGAGCCAGATACAATCTTCACAGTGCAGAAGTGCAGAAGTGGCTTTAGAAGTGGCTTTAGAAGTGCAGAAGTGACTTTGGAAGTCAGAAACTCAAAGTATATGGCAGCTAGGCCTGAATGCACCTTGGCAGAAAAGGGGAGTGCCTAGCTCTTTTGGGATAGTGAAAGATCATCCAGCCCTAGGTGGGAGACCCATGAGGACCCAAGCATGGGTTTGGGATGAAGAGCAGCCCTTTGGGGAGGCACAGCCATAGAAGCAGCTGAGGCAAAGCGAACAGCTGAGGAGTCAGGAGACCATGGCTCCTGGAGAGCCTAGGGAGCTATATAAGCTGTGTCAGGTAAGTTTTCAAACCACAGATACCAACCCTCAATAAAAAACAGATGTCAGGGGAGCTGCTCTGTGAACCAAAGAGGATAGTCTACACCCCTTTTTCCCACACGGCCACCCATAGTGGCCTCTGAAGCACACACCCTACTGCTCTTTGCAATACAGTCTGAAATTATATGACATGAGATGAGATGAGATGAGATGCCTTCTTACACCAACATTCAGAAGTTTTTTTAGCAATACATCTGAGGAATAATATTTCACTGCCTATAAGATAATTTTATTTTCTTAGCTTTTTGATTTGTGGAATTGCAAAGAAAGGAAGGTGCAGCAAATGTAAACATAGAGCTACAACAAATTGTGGAATTTGAGGGTTTGAGAATTTAAAGTTCATCTGCACATGAGAAAACTGAAATTCAAGAGGATAAGTTATCTTGAAAGAGGTCACATGACTAATTAATGTAAGACTGAGGTCTAGAACCAAGGGAATCTGACTCCCAAACCCGAGATCTTTTCTCTGTGTATGTATCTGTGAACATATGTTTGGAATTCATAAATTTGTTTTGATGCTTTTTAGATTTTGCGTTTTTATCCTGATAACATTATAAAACCATTACTGTATGCCTATCCTGAACCATCTGGATGGCCACTTATTACTTCTATATTCAAACAGTAGTGAAACCTCCCTTTGTTCAGGACATAACAGTACCAGTGAGCCAAATACAGAAGAATCTACCCCATAGCAATTAGTACTGTGTTCACATTGCACTAGACTATGTTGTAAGAGTTCCATCCTTTCCTTAAACATATTTGTTCAAAAGTTATGTGGGAGTAGCAAATGCTTTTTCCCCACCCAATTCCAGCAACAATTTGATTTGATACCCATCAGTGAAGCTTTAAGTTTATCCTCAAGCTAACAAGAAAACTTTGCTTAGTTCTAGGTGATACTTCATTTAAAATAGCATCTTACTCTCAAGTAGACTATTTAGATAAATAAGAGATCCGAATAACCTTAACTAGCACAAAGAACCTTAAAGTCATTAAATACTCTCTTGTCTGTTATATTTATGAAAACGGACATTCTCTACATTGGAATTATTAAAGTCAAAATTCTGAAACACTGAATATAGCACAGGACCTGAGATAAACTATTTCTATGAGTACACCCAAGACTGAAATTTTAGTTGTTACAGAAAAGCATAATATTCCCTATAAATTTATATTGTTAATTTAAATTTATTAGTTTCATAGTTTCAAAATTCAATTTATAATTTTTCTTAATCATCATATAAGAACAATAACTTATAGCCTTCTTCTCTGGTTTATATATATTTTTAAAGCATAAAAATAACATATTTTCATACTTGGAAACTGAGATAATTCTTTCTGTTAAAAATAAGTCCAGGCACAAAGAGGGAACAACAGACACTGGGGTCTCCTTGAGGGCAGAGTTTGGGAAGAGGGAGAAGATCAGAAAAAGTAACTATTGAGTACTAGGCTTAGTACCTGGGTGACAAAATAATCTATACAACAAGACCCTGTGACAGGAGAGTTTACCTATATTACAAACCTGTACATGTGCCCACCAAAACCTAAAATAAAAGTTTGAGGGAAAAAAGTCAGCTGGGTGTGGTGGCTCATGCCTGTAATCCCAGCACTTTGGGAGGCCAAGGTGGGTGGATCATTTGAGGTCAGGAGTTTGACACTAACCTGGTCAACATGGTGAAACCCTAGCTCTACTAAAAATACAAAAAAAAAAAAAAAAAAAGTCAGGTAAGCGTGGCGGTGGGCACCTGTAATCCCAGTTATTTGGGAGGCTGAGACACGAGAATCGCTTGAACCCAGGAGACAGAGGTTACAGTGAATTGAGATCATGCCACTGCACTCCAGCCTGGGCGACAGTATAAGACTCTGTCTCAAAAAGTCCAGGGCTGGGTGTGGTGGCTCGTTCAGCACTTTAGAATGCTGAACCGGGTGGATTGCTTGAGCCCAGGAGTTCAAGAGCAGCCTGGGCAACATGACAAAACTCCATCTCTACAAAAAATACAAAAAAAAAAAATCAGCCAGGCCTGGTGGCACGTACCTGTAGTCCCAGCCACCTGGAGGCTGAGGTGGGAAGAATCACCCGAGCTCGGGAGGTCAATGCTGCAGTGGGCCATGATCATGATCGCACCACTGCACTCCAACCTAGGCAACAGAGTAAGACCTGGTCTCGAAAAAATTAAAATAAAAATTAAAAAGCCCAGATATTACCCAGTTTGAGAAGCACTGCTAACAGTGCTTCTTCCTGGGATGCACGATTACTTAGAGTGGTGGAGAAAAGCCTAGATCTTGGATTCCAGAGTCCTAGGTTCAAGTGGACTCCGCTAATAACTAACCATATGTCTCACCTCCTTCACGTACCCTCCCTGGCCCTCAGTTTTCTCAATGGTAAATTAAGGAGACGGCAAGAATCACGAATCCTTCTGCCTACTGGAGCAAGGTAGAATAATTAAGTGAAATAGGCCAGTATGGGGAACAGTAACTAATTCGGAGGACATTTACCTTGTATTTAAAAATATTTATATTCAAAACTTTTTTAGCACAAGCAAAACAACAAATCCATGGATCAGATTCCATCTGAAAGCTGCCAGTTTGCAAAGCCTAACTTATATAATCTTGAGAGCAGCTTCCCCACCCGTAAAGCATTAAATGCAATGACTAATATAAATTAAGAGAAACCAACATCTATATGATCAGTACAAAGTGGTGGTGGGCATAGAAGAAAATCCTTCAGAAGACATCAATGTGTTTTAGTGTTTTAAGAGTGCCGCAGCTTCATATAAAAAAGGAAGGGACCGGGAAATGCATGATCAAAGTGAGTGGAAAAAAAAGAAACAACAAAGTAAGCGAAAGACTTTTTTTGGTTCCAACTGTATCCAACCAAAAATATTGCCTGAATTATAGTCTCTCGTCAATTCTCTAGTATTATACTCTCTATCCAAGTCAGAGTTACAAACTGTGGGCCCAGCAGTGTGTCAGGTGCTGGAAAGATCTCTAAAGGTAATACCTTTTTTTTTTTTTTATTAGAGAATGTGTTTGAATGGTTGTTTTCCACTGTAAAAATTTTTAACCTCAATTTGTTCCAGGTGTTATTGATAAGAACTCAATTCCAATTAAAATTAAAATATGAGATAAGGGATGTGATATGTTTTTTCACCCTTCAGAGTTTGAGGAGACAGCACAAGAGTGCCTTGGAATGGGTATTGTGATAGCAGAAACAGTGCAGTTATTTGACATATATTCTAACTTCAGGAAGATGTTTCCAGACTTGTACCGACTCTAATCTCTCAATTTCTCAATAGTTAGCATTTAGTACACACAGACTTTCTGCCACTGACCAGGGCATTGCTTATTGTTTTCCTTTCTTACATCAATATTCTTCTTCCTCCCATTTGTATCTAGTCCCAGACATCCCTCATATTAACCAATAGGCAAAAATAAAAGGCCTATTGAAATATTGGACTTCGGTTCAATATCTGCGATCACTCTTGCTAAAGAGATGTTTGAACTCAACTATAAGCTTTGAAACACTGTCCATAGGAGTTTAGTTTAAAAGCAGAACCATAAATACCAAGTAGAGTGAGGAATAAGAAACAGCAAGAGTTTAATCTGTCTCTGACCACCCAGTTTATGGTAGGTTACCACATTTATTCTTATAATTGGCTATTTCCTGTTTTAAATGCCTTTTACTCGTGCCTGCCACCTTTCTCAGTTTATTAGCCTTGTGGTCACCACATTACCTTTCTCTTCAAAATCAATTGACATTTTTATGAAAAGCGTTTTCAAGGTATTAGCTCTGAGAGTGTGGCATACAGAGCATGCACTGCCACATTAGAAAGTCCCTCTTAGCACAACTCAGGTGCATAACACTCGAGCTATTATGTTTTAAGGAGATTTATGTGTTTTTATTTAGATTTATACAGTGTACTGTGAATATATTGGCATGATTTTAAAAAATGTAAAACGTATGGCATCACAATGGTACATATTCTATTCACCGCTTAATAACATTTATGAATGAGGGGGAAACATCCATTTTTTAAAAGTAACACAAAAATTCAGAATTTTGGTAGTTGGTCTCTCTAGATAGCTCACATCATTTTTCTATAAGCAAAGCCCCAGTGACCTAATTCCTTAGGCCACCTAGAGATAGGAAGTCCTTACCACTTTATGAATACCGTGACAGTGAGTAACAGTAGAATTTCAGATTAGCATAGTTTTTGTATCTTACAGGAAATAAACAATTACAGACCCTGTGATAATCAGGGTCTGAATTTTGTTAAGAAAGTCAGCTGACTTGAAAGGTGTTTTCTTCCAGTGGTCCAAATAATATTTCTATTGATTTATTTTTCATAGAGTTCTGAACAGCTGTTTGATATGGCAAAAAAAAAAAAACAAACAACAACAAAAAAAACCCAAAAAACAAAAAGTGCCACTTGCTGATTCAAAACATTTGTCTCTAGGTGCCAGGTCGACCTGTCAGCCCTCAGTAGGGAACAGACGCACAAGCTGGAGCTGCAGCTGGAAGAGGGTGAGGGACACCTGGTGCTGCTGGTCACTCTGACAGCATCAGCCACAGTCAGCATCTCTGACCTCTCCGTCAACTCCCTGGAGGACCGGAAGGAACGAGAGGAGATATTAAAGAGATATGTACGTATGTAACCCTCCTCCTTCTAGAGTCACATGTGACTAGAAGAGGTTGTAAACAATTTACCAGGAGGGACAGAAGTACTTCTGAGAAGCTGTCTGATGGAAGAATTGGCACAAGTAAAAAGCAGAGTGAAAATAAATGCCACCCAGACCTTTGCAGAAGCACTTGCATTACCCACCCATGTCTAGAGACTTGATCTTCTCTAGAATCTCTTCCAGAGCAAATTCTGGATTCTGAGATTTTACTCAATGATTTTATCATGCAGGGATGCTGCCCATAAAGGAAGGCCAGGTTTACATAACATGACTTTAAAATTAATTTATTGATTCTTTGTAGCTGCAATTAAAATTTCTTTGTCTTTCCAAGTTTGAGATGGAGTTAATGGTACTTACGGTAATCAGTACCTTGGTAACTAAAGAGTATTCACAGGAGTGATTTTTATTTTCAGCTGCTCAGGAAAGCCTCACTTCATTCCTTTATTTTTTTTAATTGAATGTGAAATCGAATTAAAGGAAGGCTCCTTCTTTTTGATCGAATGTGGAACGATAGTATGGAATAGTTAATCACTAAAATGACTACCCTACTCAAATTTTACCAAACTGAAATATTCACAACCAAATCTTACTATTTCCCAGCATCCTCCCACTGGACATTTCCCACCATGTAGTTTTCTTGAATCAACAGAGAGGGGAGCTCTTACTCCACCATTCTCTCTCAATGGAGGTTGGAAAAAGTAAATGCCTTAGTACCCATGAAGCTGGGAAAAAAGCTTTTCCACTTAAAATGACAAAGCTTGTATTGTACAGTGCCGCCAGGTGTTTAGAAGGCTCCTCTAGACACTCAGCCATGAAACCAAGCTCCGACTAACAAAGAACCACTTTTTTTTGGACTTTAAAATATTCCTATTTGCTGACTGACATCCTTTCAATAACTGAATTTAATAAAGATGTACCTTATCAGGCTGTGCAGATAACATGAAGTGCTGGTACTAATGCTCTACAATATTCTTCAAACAGATTAGCAGGATGTGCGCTTCAGCAAATTTATTCTGGCTATCTCCACTGAATCAGCTGTCTGCTAATGCTTGTACAACTCATCCACCAATGGTGTTATCATAAACAGTTTAATAGAGGTGACTTAGCAAGGCTAAATAGTATATATTTTTAAACTACCTAAGAGCCTAAGATATTGTGTGACATCTTCTAATATATAATTGCAATTATGAAGATTATTTTACATTGTGGTATCCACCAAAACATATTCTTCTGTTACCAGAAGTGAGCCTCATGAATTACAACAATTTTAATGGAGTTAATCAGTATATTAATATAAAAATTCTTCTAGGCATTATAATACTATAGTTGATGGATTAATATTTTGATATTATCCCATATATTAAGGGATATTGCTGCCTAGGTAATTAGAAGTAATCCACCTATTATTAATTTTTTTTCTTTTTACTGGATGACTGAATGGCAACTGACCATTTCCATTCAGAATTTGAGTATTTGTTTCCATGTCTTTTTTCAATAAAATGTAAAATATTATGCAGACGTTTGACTTAATTATCACATTGTATTCTGCTCAATATATTAAAAAACGAACCATGTTGAAACATACTTTTTTTTCAGCCTTGAATTTCACGCAGAGGCCTATACCTCCCTCTAGAGACATACCTGCTACTAAGCCACTATGTGCAACATAGCACATCTGTTATATTTACTCATAGCCATGAAAGGACAAAGACCTATGGATTAGGCTTCAGTGTGTTTCCTTTTTATTACAAGGATCATGACATGAATGAATGAATGGCATATCACGTCTGAAATATCATTCGTTTTGGAGAAACATATAATGGAGGTTGTTTGGAGAATTATTTCTATATTTTCCTGCAAGAACATGTGTATTTTTAAAAGTTGAGGTCAAACTTAGGAGCTTGACACTGGTCACTGTCAGCGGAGCAGATGAATTGCCACCACTCTGATATGAAGCAGCCCTAAACAAAGCCCTCCATTGCTGCTGTTTAGCTGTTCATTGCTGAGGATTGAAGTCCCACAAAGTAAACAAACATCACTCTGTGAGCCATTTTTTGATCACCACATTCTGAGAAGATGGCTAATTCCATTTTTTTTTTTTTTCCCTCTTTTAGGGGGAGGAAATGAGGGAAGGTCAATAGGGGGCGGGTAGTAATGGGTAGTAGACCAAGAGCAATTGTATGACCTTTTCAGAACGGGTATGCTGAACCCTTGCTCCCCCTTGTCACAGTTTAAAAACCAGAGGAGCTAGTTTAGAGAAGAAGTTGTTAGCATTCCATTTTTATTATGACATTTCACAGTCATCTGATTTAATGTCCCTTGACCGGATTGTCCACCGTGAGACGATGGGCTTGAAATGTTATTTAGAGCATTGATAAAAGGTGAGCGGTTCTAAGATGACAGCGAGTCATAAGGCTGGTGGTGTGACATTAATTTTCTCCATAACAGAGATGGAATAAGACGTCACGGTGACAAGCTGTCAATCAGCTCTGGCCCCTCAGAGCATCTCGATGCCATAGGATGGGGTATTGCCTCTCCCGTAATAGAGCTGAACTGAGATGCTCTCCCTGACAGCTGCTGCAGTCATAGAGAAAATATATTATACAGCCTTTCATTAAAAAAATAAAGAGGACTCCTCTCCAGAGCATTTCAATCTTTTCCCATCTATTGAGGGCTGAAAGGATTCACAGCAAATCATAGATTCCTCTGCTATGGAAATTTCTGGCTTCAGAAGCCATCCGGGTTTTTAGGCCTTCTAAAATAACCATAAATAGCAAGGCAGGAATACCTCTTGATGAAGTTACATTTTTAAACCAATGTATTTATTTATTACTTCTTATTATAATCGATGTGTCACTGGCCTTAACCGTTGAAATTTGCAATATATTATGGAGTGTCAGCTGACTTGGGGAAATGAAACCTTCAAACAATAATTACTACTCCAAATGGGAAGCAGAGGATCAGAGCCAAAGCACCTGAAGACAATATGTCTGTGGAATGAGGCTACCAATGTGAAATGATTCTCAGACATAAGGACTGATTATATTTGTTTTAGTCAAAATAGAACTTGATTTAAATTGCCTCTGAAAATTAAAGTATAGAAACCTTTTTTTTTGATAAAACTGTTCCCCATCATTAGGGTCAGAGACTTATCTGATTTACAACATTGTGTAAGCTCTGAGACAAGAAACTTTCCAAACTTGCTGTTACTGTAGGAACACAACATGCCTACAAACCTCTGAATTATACCCTGCTGTCTAATGCCCCCACGGTGAAACCCTTCAGTTACAGGAATTTAAATGGAGAGAGAAGTGCATTTTTACTGAACCTTGTCACCTGGGTATTTTAAATAGATTTTTGGTGATAAATAGCTGTTTAAAAACAATAAAAGATTAACAGTTAATCCTCATGCTAAACACTCTTATAAAAAGTTAGGCTGTGAGATTACTCATATATCCACATTTCCTCCTCTCAGTATACCAAGGTCATAGTTTCAGTGTAAACAATGACTGGTCATACGGGACTGATAAAGTTCCTATCACAGTAAGCTTTTGCTTGTCAGTATTCTCACATTATTAATATGGTGATGGGAGTGCTTTTTACTCTAGTAACATTTTAATAGCTAACTTTATTATGCAAAAGTATGTTATGTTCTCTGATTATAAAACATTTTATAGATTATGAAAAAGAAGTACCTTTGATTTACTGAGTAGAAGTGCTGATCGCATTGTAAGAAAAATGCTACGAAGTATAAACAAACAAATGCACATTAGCATTCTGTTGGTTCATTTTACTCTCAAAGTATTTGTGCCCATTAATTAGACTTCTGAATTATTGTATTGGTTTCCCTCTTTTAATTCCTTCAAGTGTTACACTTATAAAACACCACCGTTATTAATTTATGAAGTGAAATAGATTTTATCATTTGGATCCATTTTTTCTATTGAAGTTTCCATACTTCTGTACATACTAAAATAGCAAATAAAACTATAAATTTAAGAAAATTTTTTATTGTTAGTCATCAATTTATTTTTGAATTTATTTTTAGTCATCACTTTGATTGACAGTAGAAGATTGTGTCTGTCTTTCACTTATGTAGAACTACAGTAGTCTTTTGAAATAAATACTAGAAAATAGTCTTTAGGTAATTTAATCCTCATCTAGCCCATGCAATTTCCAAAACTCACCAAGAGGAAAATAGTAGAAAAAAATAATTAACTTAATGTTGACCTTCTTACCCCTAAAGACTGAAGAGTGTTACATATCCAACAACGTGAGATTTAATATTGATAATTAGCCTGAGAGTGGTGGTTCATGCCTGTAATCCCAACACTTTGAGAGTCAAGGCTGGAGGATCACTTGAGGCCAGGAATCGGAGACTATCCTGGGTAACATAGCAAGACTTTTTCTATAGAATTTAAAATGTTTTTAAAAACAAATTAACCAAGTATGGTTGCACCAAAAATAAGCAAATATGCTAGTAGTTCCAGCCACTCAGGAGGCTGAGGTGGAAGGAATGCTTGAGCCCAGAATTTGGAAGTTACAGTGAGCTATTATCACGCTACTGCACTCCAACCTGAGTTAGACCCTGTCTCTAAAAAAATAAAAATAAAAACATTTTAAAAACCCCACTAATCTCCAAACCATTATATCTACAGATGAAAATATTTCTTGGAGTGGTTTGCTTGCTAGAGGAGATTGAAAAAAGGAAACAGACATATCTATTCCATAATTTATTGTTCACCATTTATTGATAATTATTTATGGGAGTAAATGTGTGTTTTTTTTTTATTATTTCAGAAAATCTAGTTATATAGTAACAATTATCCACATTGGGGTGTGTGTGTGTGTGTGTGTGTGTGTGTGTGTGGTGTAGATTCATGATGGTGGAAGGGTAATTTATACTGAAGAAACACAAATGACACCTTGAACCCCTCATGCAACATCAAAGTTTCCATTCTATACATACTAAAATGGCAAATAAAACTATAAATTTAAGAAAAATTACTCACTATTTTGAATTTATTTTATTTTTTTGAGTTGGAGTTTTGCCCTGTCGTCCAGGCTGGAGTGCAATGGCATGATCTTGGCTCACTGCAACCTCTGCCTCCTGGGTTCAAGCAATTCTCTGCCTCAGCCTCCCGAGTAGCTGGGATTACAGGTGCCCTCCACCATACCTGGCTAATTTTTTTTTGTATTTTTAGTAGAGATGGGGTTTTACCATCTTGGCCAAGCTGGTCTTGAACTCCTGACTTTGTGATCCATCAGCCTCAGCTTCCCAAAGTGCTGGAATTACAGGTGTGAGCCACCGCTCCCAGCATGAATTTATTTTTAGTCATCAACTTGATTTATGTTAAAAGATTATGTATGTATTTTACTTATGTAGAACTACTTAAGTTCTTATGTAGAATTGCATAAGTCTTTTGAAATAAATACTAGAAAACAGTCTTTAGGTAATTTAATCCTCAGCTAGTGCATGCAATTTCCAAAACTCACCAAGAGGAAAATAGTAAAAAAATAATAATTAATGTTTAATGTTGATCTTCTTACCCCCAAAGTCTGAAGATAAACTAAAAAATGTAATGTTTTCTCAGCACACTCTTTAAGACTCCTTGGGACCTCCCTTTTCTAATACTGATGTTGGGGTCTTTCAGAGCCCATTGAGGATATTTCACAACCTGAAAGATGTGGGATTTCTCCAGGTGAAAGTCATCAGAGCGGAAGGGTTAATGGCTGCTGACGTCACTGGTAAGAGATGATGCAATTCTCCTATTGCTCAGATCAAGCAGCACATGAAGTCTACACCATTTAATAATTCAACTTTGCATTTCACCTGATGGATCATCAAAGTAAATAATTTAATGATTCAGGGTTGATCTTAGAAATATTTGCCAACCCCCTTATTTTTATAGTAACTCTGCTTTTTAAAGGCAGGGTAACGTATTAAAAATAAACACTAAAAAGCAAAATGATTTTTGAATTGTTGCCTTCTTCAAAGTTTAATCAATGTAGCAGAAATACTTCTTCCAGGTATTGTTATTTCCAGGTATTGAACCAATGCTATACAGAATCAGCTTCCCTCATAGCATCAACACTTATAATTCAAACATGCATGAAATCTGTTGGATATTTCACTGAAAAGTTTAGATGCATAATACTCAATCATTTGGTGTGAACTCTTGATATTTGGGTTGCTGATCCAACTCATTAGTCGTCCAAATTCCCTGGCACATCCCAGAGATAATTTTGGATCTAAACTAAGCCTCTAGATTGTTTGAAATTTCTTAAAGTAGGAAACAAGGCTATACAAATGTCCACATTAGTTTTGTCTCTTAAAGCTTCCTGATTTGCATAATGCTATTTCTGTAACATATTAACAAGCGGGCTGATGGCAATTATTTCATCAATTTCCAGAAATAAATCATTATTTTGAATTTATAACAATGTGACCATTCATTTATGATTTAATTTCATAAGGATTTGGGGGATGTTTATACTGTTCCTTAAATTATCCATCTTGAGTTAGACAATAAATAGGACTGGCTTGACCAATTTGTGCAAATTTCACTGTTTCTGAAGAAAATATCAATTTATCATTCTGGAAATATGCTTACCATTGTGAACATTCAGCCACATCATCCTAATGAGGTAACAAACTTATTTCATGGGAAGAAATGTACTTTTTCTACCATCCAAGGATTTGAAATCACTGTGCACTTCTTTAATTCATTCAACAGAATCAAAAACAAATAAAAGATAACATGTCTTCAAATGAAAATAGCAGATGTTTGTTCCAAAACTGCAATATTTTTATATTTTAATATTTGCCTATTAAGTGACCATGTGTGAGAAAATTTAAAATATTAGTTTACAGTTCCTTTAAAAAGGTAATTATCAACTCATTTGTAATCAAGAAGATGATAACAGTTGTCACATATTTTTTCAAAACAGGCATACCTGAAAATGGGAGAGTAGGTTGTTTGTAATATTTGCATATATGCTAATTTGGCTCCTTGTACAAAACAATTAATGTAAAATGTATATATTTTCCTATTTATGAAATTTCTTTCTAGTATGATTATAATCAAATTAATCTGGCACAATTATTTCTTTTAGAAAAATGCATGTACCATTTACTTCAAAAGCTTACATACCTGTCCATTATACAATTGGATAGAATTGTATAAGTTTGTCTTCTCTTGGAGAGAAGCTGTCATTGATTTTCAAACTTCATGAATATGCAAACTAGATTAACCCAGTTGGCCTGTATGCCACTATGGAAGTTAAAATACATGTTCTCTCAAAGCTGGAAAAAAATAGAGATATTTCTCTCCTAATGGTTCTATGTAAATTGATGTGAATAACAATAGCCTTTCCCCTGGGGATTCAATGAGACGTAATTTTCATTTGATAAAATGAACATTAATTTGGGGAATACTAAATAACAGAGTCTCCATTTTTTCCTCCAGTTTTAGAGATATAAATCTAATGATTCCCCATTTCATGCTGACCTTATAATCTAATGTGCTCTGAATTGAACAAGAGAGATGTTGAACTATTCAGGGGCAAAAAGATAATTCAGTCTTTGACCTTGCTCACTCTTGGACCTTCTGTGGTCTTTACGACATTTGTGATGGTGGCAAAAATTGAAGACTATATATTTGAGTCAGAAATGTCTGAATATACTACCAATTTTAAAAATTATTTTTACTTTTGAAAAGGATACTTTATATATACACACATATATATAAATACACACACACACATACACACACACACACATATATGTGTGTATCCTGATGCTTCCTTGTCTTTGTCATTAAATTTGGGACACAAGAAAGTTTTTCGTCTGCTTTCTCTCTTACTTGTTCAAAGAACTTTAAAGATATGATGTGCGTCTCAGTGGATAATAACAGTCAGGCTCTACAAGTTATTAGGCAATAGTTTGAAAAGAGGCAATTGACTAGCGCTGTCTTCAAATCCTCAAGTTAGCATCCATTTAGGAATTTTGTCGATGTAGAGGGGTGATTTTAAATCACTGGTAACTGTCTGTGCTAAGGCAAGAACATTTTCTGACATGGTACAAATGAGCCTGTTACTTATAAGATACACGGTTGGTTTCAGAACACTTTTTCTAAATAAGTCTAACGAGACAAATTTATATTTGACCAACTTAGCTCTATTTTTTAGATATTTTTAATGATCTGAACATAAAGCTAAACTCCCATTGTTTCAGCAAAATATGTTAAATTATAATATTCCATCATTAGACATGAGCACAGGAAAGAAAGAGTCTATAGTGTTTTAAGTAGCCATCAATCTTACTACGGTTACAAAGAATTTTTCCCTTTCAAAATGTAAAATTTTTCTTTTGTTACAACACATTCATTGAGAAACATTGTGATACTGTATTAACTCTGTGTGAATAAAGAGCAATTGAGACTCTCTTTGAATGAGTGAGTATAAAGCACAAATTACTTTTTAATGAAACCCTCAATTCTTTCCCTTTCCACAAAAAGCCTATAGCCTTGTTCAGCTGAACACTACTACAGTAGGTCACTTCAGTTAAGCCCCTAATAAACTGTTGATGGTCGAGGGTAGTTTTTTCTTTGGTCTCAATAGCCCAGTGTTGGACAGTGCACTTCAAATCATTAAGGTTAATACAGATTTTAAAAAGAGATTAACTCTGGTGGTTAAGGCCTCCATTTACAACTCCCACACATACACATGCATTGAGCAAGGCACAAGAGTGGATTGAGATTTCAGTCAAATTGTGGGCATCTTTTCACAGCCTGAGAAAGTGGCACTGTGGTTTGAAAAGTTGGTCAGCTAAATTCTTCATAAGGGAAAAAGTTTGAGTCACTGAAAAATACTTCTCAGTACAACTTACTTACCTTTCAACTAACCAGTGAAAAGGTTAATGTCTCTCCGCACCATCAAAGCAAGACCTAGAGACTGGCCCTGCGTTCACTGGGGAAGATCTCTCTGCAGCTAGATCGAGTTTTCCTTAAAGTTCTACAAATTGTGAGGAAAGGCCAGTGGGGTGGGGTGTGGGAGGGCGGCGGCGGCGAAGAAATATTTTTTCTTTGGGTGGTAGGAAATAGTTTGTGTTATCATTTGTCTTTTTTAGCTTCTGATTATTCTTTTCCTTGAGCAGGGCCTAATTTCTGCCTCAACAGAACATTCCAAGTCTCCTATATTGAGTGAGGCTTTCTTTGCAGAGTATTTAGACCTGGCCTATTGGTTCTTTCAAGTTCTAAGAGGAGAAGGAGAAAAGAGTTCTCCTCCGCCCCTCCCCTTCATTTCATTTTCCCCTGGGTTCTCGCTCTCTTTCTGTGTGTGTGTGTGTGTTTTTTTTTTTTTTTTTCTGAGCTCCTAAGGAAGAGGTCGTAGCTTCCCCAGGGAGACCAGCCACTCAGTTTCAGAAACAGCGATATGGGAGAACTGTGAAACCCTTCAAAAGATGTCCTACCTTTTCACTGTACTAAAAGGTACACTAATATAAAACTTCTCCACACCAGGTGAATTGATCTCTCAAATTAATGCACCGTCTCCTTCAGGAAACAATAGAGGGAGAGGAAGAGAAAAAGGGTCGGGGGAGAGAGAGGGAGAGAGAGAGA